CAGACGCTGTAGTCCTATGGCTAAGACTGTAACCTACACCACTGATGGCACAGAGGACTTGATTATTTACTTTAACAGAATTGAACTTATATGCATTTTTACAGGTTCTGTGCAATACTTCATTTTTACTGAAATTTTACTAACATACTATTTGTTAACCACCTCATGCCAGGGCATTTTTCAATGTTTATGATGCTGGGCCGGCATGACTATCATTTTTCCGTTTTCAAAATCCTTCAAAAATTCATCATTTCATTGAACGGTCGTTTATACCCGCACTAAGTAATCTTTAGGCACTACTTTAAGTTGACAGGTGACCTTCATTGATGCCCGAGTATTTCAGCCAGGCCTGCAGCCTTGTAAAAAGAGCCCAGATTGTGCGGTGTTATATAACTTTCTTTTGTTCACGAACCTGGCTCAATGCACTGCTGACCTCTTTTCAATAGGGGCCAGATTAGCGTGCAGCAGTGCTGTGTGGCTCATCGCTGCGGTGGTGGAGTGCTTTTGTCCCCAGTGGTAATCGGCTCAATCTCAATGCCCCAAACCCTGGTATATGGTTTCAAAACAAGGCTGGATTATCACAACTTTTGAGAGTAAAAATGTTGGTAATGCCCAGCAGCCTGGTCTTTTGTTCCGAGTACGGTCTTTTGTTACAGGGCCCTGTTTCCTTTATCCGAGTTCGGAGACCCGGCCAAGCATATAAACCATACATCTCCGATTCCGGAGTCCCTGGCAGGAAGTGGTTAAGTTTTTTATATTGTTTAAAAAGTTAACCACTCGGTGCCGGGGTTTCCGGTACCAGGGACCTTGGGTTTGTACCCATAGCCAGGGTGCCCAAAATCAGACAAAGGAGCTGGGCCTTGTAACAAAAGACTGTACTCGCAACAAAAGACTGAGCTGCTGGGAATTGCCATCATTTTTCGGCTAGTATCAGCAGAGGTAATCTGTCATTGCTTTGAAATAGTATACCACTTTTTATGGCATTCAGTGCCCTCGTATTATCAGCGGGGACAAAAGTGCTTCAGCACTCCAGTGATGAGCGATACAGTGCCACTGCACGCTAATCTGGCTGCATTTGAAAAGACACCACTGCCATTCAGCAAAGCACTGAGCCACTTTCGGGAACAAAGGAAAATATGCAACATCGCACAATCTGGGCATTTTTCACTGGGTGGCAGGCCTGACTGGAATACTCGAGCGTCAATGGAGGTTGCCTGTCAGATTAGAGTAGACACCAGACAGTCATTTGTGTGGGTGTAAACGTTCAGTAAATGAAGTTATGAATTTTTGAAGAATTTTGCAAGCGGAAAATCTTGAAAACCGCCCAGGAACTCATCCCGAAATTTCACCCGGAACCCACTCATAAATGTTAATGTTTTTCATTAATCTGTTCAACTGTTAAAGGCCAACAGAAATTCCTAGTATTAGGGCTTAAAAATTAAATTGAATTTGATCACTGTGGAGTTGCCCAAATGTACCAACAACATTATGGCTACAAACCAGTTTCCTTCTATAAATGATTGGTGTTAAGTTAATATCCACATGCAAAAACATTTCAGTCTACCATTCTTAGGTGCACCGATTTGTGGGAGGGCAAGATGACATTCCATTTGCCTAAACCTACTTGACTGCAGAAAAGTCCAAAGCAACCTACTGATTGATGACTGGTTTTGACTGAAGATGCTCGAGCCTTTTCACGCTTGTGATGGAATTTGTATTTGTCTAGTTCTTGTTGCTGGAGCTGCTTTGCAATCATTGCATTACTCAGTGGTTCCTGCGAATAGATACATAATTAGAATGAAAACCTTTGAACATTAATTTGACAGCTACTTCATTCATGTGTGAATTCCCCTTTTCCCCACTGTTTTTATTTAAACTTCATCTGTTCCAGTCATAAATATAAGCTGGTCGGGCTGATTGGGCAAGACTGACTGGTTTTAAAAATATTACAGAATTTCTTTGACAGTCATCAGAATTGAGTTAGTACATTAGTGAAAACAACAACAGTGATGTCTATTACCCACTTCCTGCCGGGGCAGTTATCAATGTTGATGATGCTGGGGCAGGATTTTATCATTTTTTCTGTTTTCAAAATTCTTTAAAATTCCTATCTTCATTTACTGCACACTTATACCCACACAAAAAATTGTCTGGTCTCCACTCTAGCCTGACTGACAAAATCTATTAACACCAGAGTATTTCTGCCAGGCCTGCAGCCTTGTAAAAAGAGCCCAGATTGTGCGACGTTATATAACTTTCTTTGTTCACGAACCTGCCACAGTGCGCTGCTGACCTCTTTTCAATAGGGGCCAGATTAGCATGCAGCGGTGCTGTGCTGCTCATCACTGCGGTGGTGGAGCACTTTTGTCCCCGGTGGTAATCCGCTCACTCTAAGTGCCCCAAACCATGGTATACTGTTTTAAAACAAGGCTGGATTATGTCCACTTTTGAGAGTGAAAAAAGTCGTAATTCCCAGCAACCTGGTCTTTTGTTCCGAGTACGGTCTTTTGTTAAAAGACCCTGTTCCCTTTGTCGGAGTTCAGAGACCCCGGCCACACATATAAAGCATACGTGTCCGGATCCGGAATCCCCGGCAGGAAGTGGTTAAATGACACCCATTCCTATCTGTTGAGCGCCATTATGTGGGTGATGTTTACCAGATGATAAAAGTACCAACTGTTTATACACACTTTCCCGGTTTCACATAAAATTTTGTGTCCAGGAATTAATAATTCTGCCAAGGGTAAGTCAATCAGATCACAAAACCTTGTATCTCACTTTGGTTTGTAAGTTATGATTGAAAAACTTCTCTTAATTTTGACTTGGCATTATTTGCAATTTGATATCCGATGAGGTGAGACTGATGTTATGTACATAATGCATCTAGGCATCGAAGCTTAGGTTCTGATGAGTTTTCATCAAGATTTGTCAGATCCTAACAGGTGATGCAGTCTGATAAAACCCTTCACATAGTGAAATTTGTCATCTTTATGTTATGTACATCAACTTAGCAAGGACACTGTACCACATTTGCAAATTTCCCTAAATGCCTTTTGCCGTTCGCAAAAACTTAATCAACTGTAGAGTGCTCTCTAGACCCACCATACAAAGTGGTGACACTGCCATATTCGTCCTTCTTTTCCGAAGCACAAGGTCCGAGCTAAAGTGGGGAGGACAGGTGGGCATCAACTGTTTAGGTAGGTATTCATTAGCAGACTCTCCCATACTACTGCACTCATCCTACCCAAACAGTCACTACAGTTGAGGGATGCACTGAAAGTGAGGAAGACAGAGTACAATGATGAGGACCCACCAAAGAAAAGGAGGAAGCCATCAAAACTGGAGGTGGCTCACACAGTAAGGGTCCTTGCCGTCTTGGTAAAGAGGCTAGTATTGTCTTGCTATGAAAGAAGTCATGTGAGACTTCACTCAGGTAGCATGACGTGTTTTTCCAGCATGCTGTCCTGAATATATCTTCTGAAAGGACACCACCGAAGGATGTCTTCAAGGTCAATACCGCTCTAACATCATGAACTGTGATAGGGCAGCCGGGTTTGTAGTATAGGAAGGTTAGACTTTCGAACAAGTGAACTTGGTGGCCGAGAAAACTCAACTAGCTGTAGGGTCTCCGATTACTGTTCATTGAAGTTTACCGGTGGGGTAATGATGGAAAAAGAGATGGTACCTCTCGGCTTTGAGTCCTGGCCAGAAACCATAATGAGAATTTGATCAGGACGGCAAGGCTTGCTATTAGGAGGACCCAGGTGCTGTATGATGTTAGAGATGAAGATGTCTTGTTGGTGGGATGAATTCTAATAGGACTTCATGCGGGAGCTTAGGGCTGGGATGAAACAGACGCTGTGGTGTTACCATTCGATGAGACAATCTGTGATGGATACCGTTGACAATCCACTGCCCCGGAATGTAAGATGAAAGATCAACCTCACTGAGGTGTGGGATGATGACGCATCGACGGAAGGCTCAGAGGGAAGATTTCTGAAGAGCTCAAGGATATGAGACAGGTCCCAACAGGGAATGAGCCATATCGAAGGGGAACCCTGAATGAACATACCAAAGGGAGAGGACCTGAGGGCAATGTTGTCCCAGGGAGAGAAGCCATCAGGGACAACCACAGTTGATAGCTCTGATGACAGAATGGTAGTAGCATATAAACGCTAACTACAGATGCGAGTAAAGTATGTGCACGAAAGACAGTTGGCTGCTGTGTTTATTGGTGCCTCCGTCGAAGCTGCATAACATCCAACACACCATGACATAGAAACTGTTATCTGTTGGTGTAGCAACCTGGTTGATTGGGGCACTAGGGCTGCTGCAGCCAGAACGAAGCAAAGAGAAGACCACAGCAATGCTACCGAGTGACTTAGACGGACCTGCTGGGAAAAGGGTTAACCGTTTAATGTCCATTAAATGAAATATGAATTTTTGAAGAATTTTGAAAACTGAAAATCTTGAAAATGGCCCATATGTGTGCACTGCATTTTTAAAAGCACCCGGCAGCAAGTGGTTAATGAATGGCAGGTGCATAGGCAAGTATAAACCCTTCCCAGCTGAAATTGAAGACATCTGTCACCTGGGCTTGTAGGTGATAAAACTTGATGCAGAACATCAGTGGCTGAACGTTCTCTGTTGTGGCAGAAGGTCAATTTGTGGATTGTCGAAAAAGTTGATGATTAGCTCAGCCACGTTGTGATGGAGAGTCTGCTCTGTCGGATGAATCTTTCACTGAGAGTGGATGTCTGCAATAGAGTTGTAATGTTGGCTGCTGGGATATGGGTTGTCTTCAGGTCAATCAGGGGTCTAATGCCCTAAGGCACGGCAGGTGGGACAAAGGTGATGTCAGCTTGGTTGGCAGCCCTGCGTCTCGGCGGGCTGCAGCAAGGACGTGGTGTGGATCCATAGTCCAATGGCGCATCCACCGGGACAGCCCCAGAAAGTGATGGGCAGTCAGCCCGGGTAGTGCTATGCTCTGTGTCACACTTAAGTGTCCTTGGTGAAAAAGTCTCGGATGTCAGTGGGCTGATGCATGAAGATGGCGTTGGGGCCGGAATGTGTGCTTCAGTTAATTCTGTAGGAGGTAGAGAGGTTGGATGCTATAGGTTAACTTCTCTTGTCAGTCGCTGGGCCTTCGCTCTCTCTCCCTGACCTGGGCGACTGGCATTGGGCCTCTGATCTCTCTGGCCCAAACAGTGGACTCTGATGTCCATTCTGATAAGGGAGACCGAGGCAACGTCGGCTCGGTTGGCAGCCCTGCGTGTTGTTCAGGTGGTGAACCCCCAAGTGACCAGGTAGGTATCTGATATATTCGTTAGCACCCTGGTCAAATAGTGGGAAACACAGCAGTAGATCCAGTCAAACAGACAGAGCTAGCCCCAGGTTTGTCCTGCCTCTGGGCTATATGTAGATATAGGGTCACCCAGCTGATCCTATTGAAGCAGTTCATAGCAGGAATCCCTCATGAAACCAACATAGGGTAATCTGCAACAATGGGTTGTGATGCAGTAAGGGCAGTAACGGAGTGCAAATGTAGCGACTGTTTGGGTAGGATGAGCGCAGTAGACTCCAGCTTTAAAATTCTGAGTATAAATTTCACTGTGATTACAGAAAATTGACTGACTAAAAGATTGAAAATTAAAGTTTTGATTGCATCAAACAACAACTATTTGAATGTTGACAATTGAAACAGTGAAAAATCTTAAATTGTCAGAAATAATTTCAAATAATAAAAGTTTGGCGACATCTGAAAGGCTTTTCCCAGATCGCATCAGACATAAGAACATCACGCCTGCCTTATTGTCATGAGACAACAGCTGAAATTATTTGATCATTATTTGAATAAAAATCACTTGTAATTTAATTCACTTTGACACATCTTTATATCTAGAATACTTTGAATTTTCAGAATTTTGAGATCTCCTCTTATGGACAAGAATGTACGCCTTTTGGTTGGAAGTTATTTTGTTCATTGAAATATGGACAACTTCATGCCAGGGTATGAAACTTATATCACACATGTAATGTCTGTAATATGAAAATGGAATGTCTTTAATGTTTAAAATTTCCTGTTTTCATATTGTCACAGAAACTTTTAAAAACATAACTTATGCAGTGAATCATTTCTTAGAATTCCTGCAACAAAACTTCACAGACTTGTATCAATTTGTACTGAATGTCCAAAACCCAGGTCAGAATGCATCATGCAGCAATGCTTCTTTCTTTCTCATATCTCATTAGTTTATTCAGTTAATAGGACGGTAACTGTCTCGTATCATTACCCAAGGCCTTAGCTTGAGTTGTATCAAATGTGTAAAATTCACTTTTAAATAATATTAGGTATTTCATTTTTTTAATGTGCTCAATATTTTCTGAATGCAACTTCCCCAATGATGGAATTGCCCATATACAAGTTAATACATGCAGTGATTACAAATAGTTGGCTGGTATTGACTGATAAAAAAAGTGATCACCTTTATGTAAATCTGATGCATTTAGTTTCTAACTGCTCCTAGCAAGTTGGTTAGGTGGGGGAAAACACACTTCATGTAAAGGAACAAAAGTCAATCTGCCATTTTCAAGGTTGCTGTTGTGAGGAAACAGCCATGACATTTGGATTAAGAAATAGTATTTGAAATAGTAACGTCATTTAGAAATTTGTGGATGCGTTTGTGTAATATGTCTCTTATCTACATATAAATAATTATTTCATTTGCAAATTTTTATAATGGTGCTGGTATACAAACTTTCCTACCAAAGCTCCTAGACTTTACTCACATACACACTGACTGGGTTACGAGACCCAGAAATGAAGGCAAGAGGATCCAATGCATGAGATGCCTGTTCCAATAGAACAATGTCTTGAGCATTCTGCAAAAAAATAAACATTAAACAGTTGTGTTACTTCACACTTTACCACAAGGATCAAGTAATTCATCTTTTCATGCAAAACCATCCAACCTCTCCAAACAGAAAGGGTTCATAATACTGCTAAACCATTGCTAGAGGGTTCAAAAGTCAAACACAGTGGGCACTGCATTATGGGAAAAGGTCAACATCACACAACTCTGTCACTGTACAATTAGGAATGGTTTAAAATAATCATATCTTGTCCGTGCTTTCAAAACTAAATCTTTCCTTCCCTTCCCTGTCACTAAATGAGACTCAGCAATCATTCAAAATGTCTTTGTTAAGAAGATATTTTTGAATTATTCTGTTTGGAAATGTAGAGACTTGTTCCCAATTTGTAAGGTAAAATCTATCTGTAACATGCCAAGAAATGCACTGACCTTAATGCAAAAAATAGGTGGGGTGTATCCTGAAGTGTGCCCTCAAACTCATGTTTTGTCCCCACCCTGCTATTTGTTCTCATCAACTTTAAACATTGGAACTTGTGAAAACATCATATGCCTTGGCCAATAAGGCAAAATGATCATATCAAGTGGTATGATCAAAGCTGTGTATTCTGCTTCTAACAATATACAGATTTAATGTAATATTAGTGGGGTAGACAAATGCAAGTTAATATCAAAACAGAGCAGTTAAATCCATGTTGAAACTGGCTGACCAGCAAAGGCATTTTTTATACCTAACATTTACAGGTGTTCAGCAAAATGTGCACCGTAAATTATTTGCATAAATTCTACAAAGAAAACAAAAAAGAAGGTAAACGTAAAAGAAGAAAGGAACATTTGCCTTCCAACTTTTTTCCAAAACATATTATCTATCATGGCATGAAAGGAGTACAAAGGAAGAAATGCATAAAGGAAAAGCCATATTTGGCCTTGTTCTTGGGCATATGCATTCAGCTGCCTTTAAGTTTTCAAATGACACCTTGAAATATGCTTTTAGAATGCAATGTTGTAATCAAATAATTCAAGTTTCCCTTTATCTATTTCCACATTTTTCACTCTGTATATATTTAGCTCTCAAAATAACTGTTTGAATATTCAAGAATCAATCAAATATCTGAATATTCTAACAACTGACACAGCCCACCTCAAACCGCAGTTTTTCATGACTAGAAATAGTAAGCTGCGAATTTTGCTTTCTTGTGTATCTTTTTCAATGATGAAAAATTTGTCAAAAAGCTTCATTGGGCAGTACAGTGACTGTAGTCCAAGCATCATACATGCATGACCAAATGTCATCACATCCCAAATATGTTCTCACCTGACAAATATGCTACCTATCATTGAATCATTTGCCCAAGTAATGCCTGATTTTTTGTTCATTAAGTTGTATTGCTTTGCAGATAGGGTTGGCAGCCAAGAAGATTTTTATATAAAAGTCAGAAGCCAGAGATAGGGCCAAATGATTGTGACAACTACAAAATGGAGCCCCTCATTTTACACCATTCATATCCTTCCTTTAGGCTTCTTTCTTCCAAGCAGGATCATTCCCTAATCCCTTTTTTCCACTAAGTAATTTACCTTATTCAGAACCTTTTTCTGGATTTCATTGGACACATCTGCTAATTCATTTTTAAGTTGCATCTCAATGTCAGTCTCTCTTTGCCTTAAAAATGAAGACAGAGGGAAAAAATAAAGCACTGAGGTAAATTCAAGATGAATGGCAAAGTGTAGTAGAGGAAAGCATGTGCACATTGTTTGGGGTTGACGAACTTTCTTCTTATAATATACTACTTTTGGTGGATTGAATGAGACTGAACTCGGGAAGTTTAAAAAGATTAAAGCACCATTAGGAAAAACAAACTTTAAGTCTTTTCCAATATCTCTACAGAATGAATAAATGTAGGCTAGCGTCTTTGTAAATTCTCTACCTAAAAACTCAATGGTAGATTGAACTTGGCAATCTTGGGCTCAAACAGCTCTCAAGCTTCCAAAGTGCCACAAAATTTGCCATTACTCTCCAAATTCACCTGCAGGTGGATTTGGAAGGAACATGATTATTAAAATAGATTATATTTTCCTAGCATTACACGCTGATTTGAAAAAAGTAACATAACTGCATCATCATTGTGGAACATACCCTTGCTGTGGAAGTTTGCTTTCTGAAACCTGTGGAGGTGTCTTCAATGATAAAGATACTGCATAACGGGAATCCTTTGAAGGCTGACCAAGGATATGATAGCCTTCACTAGGTGAAGACTGGAATGAAGGTGCAACGTGGCAATCTTGGGTCAATGTCACTGGGTTGGTTTCAGGTGATGGACCAGCACTAACCTGTTAAAAAAGCACCAGCTTTGAGAACGTTGTGTAAAACCGAACATTTGCCATCCTGAAATGACTCTCCCATGAAATGATGAAACTGTTTTCATTTGTGAAACTCACATCCTTCTCTTCATTATGCTCACTATGGTTGCTATTGTAATGGAACTCTGTGCACATACCGGAGATTCAGATTTTTACATGGGATAGAGCTGCTTAAGGACAGAATTTGCTTAAGCATGAAAAAACCTTACTTAATAAACAAAGATTACCACCTCAAACTCTATGTGATTGTCATGCTAACAGGTACATGTAAATACCATTCCAAAGCAATGTACATCACAAGATGTTTTGGCTGGTAACCTAATTTGTCTAGCAAGGTTTTTAGCACTTAAACAATTTTTTGCTTAAGCAGCGATATGAAATTGGCCCAAGGTTTATTTATCAGAAACTATGAAGTCATGTTCTGATTGGCTCGATAGGGTTAGGGAAAACATAGTGTTTCTTTCCTCTGGGGACCTGGGTTTGAATCTGGCTCAGTCCACATGTGGATTGGGTTTTCAGTCTCTAAGTCCTTGGGTTTTCTCTGAAACATGTATCCAGGGTTTTTCCTCCCACCTCTAAAACTGAACATTTCTTTCTTCATTGTCTTCTTCACTCATTATTATCCTGTAATTGGCGCTAAATGTGCTGTTGGATGATCAGATATAAATAAATGAATAAAATAGATAACAAACTAAAAAATTCCAGGTGGCGAAAACCTCTTGCAGAGGCAAGGAAATGACAAAAAACTTTCACCTTGCTATGGTGGGGGGGAAACCCAACCAAATCCAGCATTCTCACTATAACCATCAGATAAAGAACGTTGAGGGTCTCCATAGGGCAGATGACAATACTCATAACAAGTGAAATCTCATTCCTTCTTAGCTCATTATTACTCACATACATGCCCATAGAAATGTGCACAAAATTGCGGGGTCCTGAAATTTGTGGGTTGTTCTATCTTAGAATACCATTATTACCAGGCTAATAATGGTGAGTTGACTATGTATAAAAGATAAATAAATTGCTGATGATGCTAGAGCCATTTTCATATCTAATTTCATGTTGGCTTTTGAAGAAAGCTGTTTTATTTACCTGGACTGGTCCAGTTGACTTGAAAGCAGTCCTTGATGATTTGGACATTGGGAAACTTCCTTGACGGCTCATGAGCGGATCCTGGTGAGGACCTAATGACAGCGCCTGATAGTATGCCATCAAATTTCTTTGACCACCACTTAATGTAGAGGGGTGCAACTGAGCTTGCTTGTTTTTGCTGTCAGCAGATTCTCCTGCATAAATCAAAGTTTAATCAAGTCATGGAAATGTTCACAGCTGTGTTTATAACTGTAGGTCCACGTAGTCATGACATCATAGTTTGCTTACATATGTGGGCTTTACTTTGAGAGCAAAGTGGGGATAACAGACAAGAAGCAGCATAAGAAAGCACACGTATCCATGTAAACAGAGGAGGATGTCATCAGCACATAGGCTTACTAGCACTGGGACTGATAGTGTAGGTTCTTTAACATTCTGGGTTGTGTGCAGTAGGCCTGTGCCGAGTACCCAGGCACCTAGGTACCTGCCCGTTGATATAAAAATCTGGTTCCATTTTTGGGCCGGGTACCCATAAAAAAGTATTTAAAAAAATTACACGCAGGCCTAAATAAATTAGAAACAAAAATCCACAGACAAAATGTCTGTTAACTTTATAGTGAAGGGCAGCACTGCTGAAAAATCACCACACCGCTGAAAATCTGGTCCCACGGTCATAACTGCGGTTCAGAGATTGAGAGAGCTACTTTTGTTACCCACTCCACCCATTGTACTACAGTTATCTTCCCTAGGTCCTGATTTTTCCTAGTTCCAAGTCACTTGAAATAAAAACCTACCTGTTTTGTGTTGTTCTTCAGTTCTACATTTTAAGACATGTTTCTGTTTGAAAATTTTGTTGTACGAAATTGGTTAGCTGAAAATTTCCAGAAAAGAACTTTTGGCCAGATTTCCAATTCGCAATTTGACATTTTTGAACGGTTTGTCAGAAATCATGGGGGCCCATAAAATGACAACAATCTACAGGGTGATAGGTCACTCACTGTGTGTCATTCCAAATACGTTTTTCATATTTAACAGTCATATAACTTTTGCATCTAATGTGTGTTTAATCAAAATGACTTTTACAAATTCTGTTAAAAAAAGGCCGAAATCTGAATGCATTTTGGATCAAATTGGATGATGAATCGAACAAAAAATCAGGAAGGGTGTTTTGTGCGCAATAGCATTTCATAATCTATTGTTTCTTTTCTCTGAAGCTCATGTTCAGCCTGCCAAAATTGAGAAATGGTCTCTTCCTTCCAATGAAAAAAATAAAAGTAGAAATTTGTCCCAAAAAGGGTGGAAAATATTATTCTTAAAGAGCATGCTTTATATGTGCTAATGACAGGCCATAATATAGTCAGTGAGTCAAATGTATTCTGGTTGAAGTACTTATACAATAACATCTCTACAAATTGAACCTCTGGGGAATGGAGTTATCCTGCAAATTTCTTCTCTATTGAAATTAACCACTTTATGGAAGTACTTTCGTGCGGCAAAATTTTCAAATCTCACAGTCTTTGTACGTGACGCGAGCACATAGTCCTTTTTTTAACTTAGGTTCCTTTATGTGTGGTCACACGACTTAGTACGTAGCACTGGCCTGGTCCACATGTGACATGACCAGCGCTGACAATTTGTGCAGGTGCATTCTGCGTGTACGTGGCAGTGCAACACCCTGGACATTTCCTCTGCACATTAGCTGTGCATTGGTGGTTTGCAGATCTGTCGTCTGTTCTGATGTTCCTCGCCAAAAAATTTGTTTTTCTGTTTCATATACTGACAGAAAGGTTTTGCAAAATGACGGTAACACTTTCATTTAATTTTCATGTAATGAAAAGGTAGGGGAGAGTTACTCTGACATTTAGAACAATGTGGTGCTTGCTTCCTATGTACGGTAAGCGCCTTGTTTCAGGCACATGGTCTGCTGGGGTTATGCACAATACCATTTGTTATTAACTGTTCTCTGTATTTTACAGGTATGCATAAATGCACACCCTAGTGTACATGATCAGAATCCTGTGCTGTCTCCTGAGCTGCATGTGGCCCAAACCCCCCAAAAACAACAGACTTGTAGCAGTTTGGCTTAAATGAGTGTCATCATGAGTGCAGGGAGGTAATGACACATAACAATCATAGCAGAAATTGTCATGTTCACCAATGACAAGGAACTTGTGCATGTAGAGAATCTATTCTCCATAAGCAGCATACATGTACATGTATACATGTAAAGACATTGGAAACATGTTTCTGCTTTTTAAACTGGTGTACAGGCAAATGTTTGACATAAGCAGAGGTACTTGTGTGGTCATTTTGAATTATGGGCTATGTACATCTCTGGACAAGATTAAGATAAAAGTAAATTTGAATGAGTTTGAGCCCAAAACAATTCACTGCCTTTCAGTGACAACATTGGCTCTTCCGATCCAACTGAGATTGGTTCCTTGGCCTCTTCGAAACATGACATACATGTATGTTGAACCAGCTTCCATGATTATGAAGGTAAAAGATTGACTGTAGAGGAACATAGGCTTTCAGATCTTTTAAGAATAATGTATGTGTTCCATAATGCAGTCTGGAATGAAGTATTTGATTTCTGCTTAATCCTGTCTCTGATGTGCATCAAACGAATACCCAAAATGGATCTGACTTTTTCATACTTATCAGGAAGTTCCAACTTGTGATGCCATACAAACATACATACCTGTAGGGATTCCCCATGCTACATTGTTCTGCTGAACTCGTCGGTCCATCTCCAATTGAATCTTATGTCCACGTTCATAGTGGCTACTTCCTGCATGCTCATCTTCTTGCTTCACCTGCAGTATAAGTTTTTCCACAACAATCTGATTAATTCTCAGATGTTCATTTCATGGCCAAATACACAAACCTCTGCAACAGAATGGATTATCTGTAATTGGCCTAAAGCAAAGATAGTCAACTTGTATGTGTAACTTAACATCTAGAATGCTTCTGAGGTTCCTGTAGACACTAGGCAAGACTAATCATATGGAAGAAAACACCAACAAAAGCATTACCAGAAAAAAAACCACAAAATTATTAGAACAAACAAGGGCAGATCCCAAATGAATTTTTGTTGAGGGAGGGGCCCCGAAACTTGGGAATTTCTATATCTAACCTTTTATGTTGGGGTGAGGCTAAACTTTAGGCCTTTTTAAAAATATAAAGGGAAAAAGGTGAGCTCTGTGTATGTATTCCATTTCTTTTACTTCCCACAATGCCTAAAATCAAACTAGCCCCTAGTTTGGGGGAGGGGAGGGGCAATAGCCCCAACAGGCCCCTTCCTGGATCCATGAATGGGAAGTCTAAGATATTCTCAAGTTTCCAGCAGATATGTACAAAGCTGTAATAAGGTTATGGTGATTTTCTCTCTTCCGCTCATTACACATACATGTACATATGAGTTATATCTTATTTGTAGGACTTATACTTCGTATGACTTTTAACTTGTACACGTGACTTGTACATGTATCTCATATATGCTTGTATGTCATACACACAAGTTATATCTCGTATGTATGACTAATCTAAACTCCTACGTCAAAAGACACAAGATATATGTTACATGCACTAGACATTAGATGTAAGTATGAGATACAACTTCCATGTATAAGTTATGATTCATAAGTTGTGTGTATGAGATATAAATCAAACATACAACAGGTTTTTTATAAGATTTAAGATAAACTAAATTCTAGGTTTAATAACAAAGACACAGAAACATCAATGACATTAAACACACAAACCTTCTTCAAGGTTTGTTCCAGGTCCTCCATTGACATCTTCTTAAACTCTGATAACTCATGGGTTCCCATTGGCTTATCTCTGACCATACTCTGGTGTTCATCAACAGACATATGCCGAATGTGAGCCTTGATGTACGTCATTGTGTAATTGGTGTTACTCTCTTTAACTGGTCGAACTAAACAGAATGGGGCTTGACTGGTCCAAGGGTTGTAGCATACCTCATTCTCTTGACTGGTGTGAGATGTCCTATCAAAATGCAAAGAAACCTGTCCAGTTTAGGGGCACTTTACTAACAACATGTATATTTTTCTCTTTAATAAAAATAAAAATTAGAACCAGTTAGAGCAAGATTATCAAGCTGCACATTGCATACCACATACCAAACTTTTATTAATTAAAATTTTATTACAAAGACCAAAGAATAAATTTAAATACCCCAAAACAAAAACACTTTTGACACGAAACAAGTCTTCACTGTGAAATGTCAATGGCTGACATTGACAATATTGGAACCATTTGTAAGGACACTAATATCTTGTTACCCTTACCACAAGTTATGCTATGTTGAGGGTTTTGAAGCACTGCATAATAATGATATACATACACGGTACAATCAAATATACTGACTGTTTGGAGACAGATTCAGTGGGGATGGTCCACAGAGAGGTGACTGTTTTGGTTAGAGATTGGCTTCTTTCCCACGGATTCTTGCTTTCTTCGCTGCTGAAACCTTTCAACTGATGCAGGATTTCTTGCTTCCGTTCACAAAGTTCACCAAGAGATATATCCTGAATTAAAAATATGAAGTGAAATGATTCAAAATGGCTGCAATTAATGAATCAAACTCAGGGTTGTACTTTGTTATCAGTACAGAGAAGTTGACAATTTAACACAATGTAATGGTCAGTCAAAAAGGTTACTAAAAATGAAATGATTTCATCATCTACATACTCAACCACTTGCTGCCGGGGAGCCTGGTTTCAGGCACATAGGCTTTATACATGAAACTGGACAAAAGAGCTGGCCCTTGTAACAAAAGACTGTACTCGGAACAAAGGACTGAGCTGCTGGGAATTGCCAATATTTTTCAGAAAGACCCCACTCCATCTGTCCAGCAAGTTGTTAGCACTCCACCACTCCAATGCCATCCCCTACCAGCTGTACAGACAGCTCAGACCCTCCAGCTCCACCTGCCCCAGATTCTTTGGTCAGCTGAAGATACTAAAACCTGGCATCCCACTCCGTTCCATTGTTGCCTTAAGAGGAAGCCCCACCTACAACACCACCAAGCACCTTACTACAATTCTCCAACCATTGGTGGGTAAATCCCTACATCACGTGACCAACTCTGATCAATTTGTTCAGATGATCAACAGCTTCACCTCAGCCCTGATGACATCATGGTCAGCTTTGATGTCATTTCCCTCTTCACTAACGTCCCCACAGGCGAGGCCTGACTTATTGCCAAAGAACATCTAGAACAAGACTCCACTCTCTGTGAGTGCACAGAGCCAAAGAATATCTAGAACAAGACTCCACTCTCTGTGAGTGCACAGCCCTATTCCCGGACAAAATCCACGACCTGTTGCTAACCTGCGTCTCATCATCCAGCTTCAGATGGAGGGACAATCATCTCGGACCTCCATGGGATCTCCTCTATCCCTGGTCCTGGCTGACACGTTCATGGAAGTTTTAGAGAGTACAGTGCTTGACACAGAAGATAACTGCCCAAGCACCTGGAATTCCATTCCTTTCCTGGTCTCCCGCCACCCATATGGTTCCCAGGGGCATGCCGTCTACTGCAAGTCAACCCACACAGACCGGTACCTGCACAGTGCATCGTTCCATCATCCTAGCATCAAGTCATCAGTCAACTGTGCCCTGGTGCAGTGCGCCTACAAGATGTTCGACTAAGAGCACATCCAAGAAGAACTCAAGTACATCTCAAGAGCCCTCAATCCCAACGGTTACCACCAAGATCAAGAATCACATATTCCAGTACACTGATTTTATATTATTCTTGTCAATATTCTGATCACAGTGCTACGCAGCCCTTCCATACTTCTACTGACTGTCGGGAAGGTGAATATCGGCAAGACTGGCCAGGACTTGCCCACCAGACTCAAAGAACACATCACCCATGACGCAGAGGTGACTACAATAAATCAGCGATTGTCAAGCACTCACACAGCAAGGATCAAGTCATCAACTGTCAAGCAGCTCAAGTCATCCCTGTGGTCAATAGATGATACCCAGGGAAGCAATCAAGATCTACAAGCATGGCACAGTCCCCCAAGATGTTGGCTTCTACATCAGCAGCGTCTGGCACTCCATATTACCCTCCCAGACTAATGGGTCATCTATATCCAAGGTCACTAGTTCCTCCTCTCACTACACCCAATGCCTCACTGCCACACATCAGTGAGCGCATCCAGTAGCCTTCAGTCCAGCGGATCCACCATCAAGCAAGCCGTTCTGCTCCAGTGCACCCTTAGCATCCTCTCCAGTGTTTAAAACCAGCATCCTCAGAGCCAGGCAACCAGTCAATCTCCTGAAGACGAACAGAGCACACTGTTCAGAACGTCGAGTGTCCAGCATTGGTTCTTCTCAGAAAGAAATATTTTTTGTACACAGTGCAACCGCAAGCCTAACCTAATTAAACTTTTTTTCAGTTGTCAATAGCGGAGAAAATCCATCATTGTTTTGAAAGATTATACCACTGTTTTATGGCATTCAGTGCGAGCGGATTACCACCGGGGACACTCCAGCTGCATGCTAATCTGGGCCGTATTGAAAAGACGCCAGCAATGCACTGTGGCAGTTTCGGGAACAAAAGAAACATACATAACACCGCACAATCTGGGCTCTTTTTACAAGGTGGCAGGCGTGGCTGAAATGCTCTGGTGTCAATAGATGTTGTATGTCAGATTAGAGTAGCACTGTCCAGTATATGAAGTTATGATTTTTTGAAGAATTTTGAAAATCAAAAATCTCCCGGTTTTACATCATGCAACTTCAAATTCCACCCGGCAGCAAGAGGTTAAGCAAGAAATCATCGCATCCTTGCATATTAAACAGCTTTTTAAAAAATTTTCATTACCATTATCATCAAATTTTCAAGTCTTGGAAGTAGGAAGATATCTATTGTTAATCAGCAAAATGAAATTAATGGAAAGGTTCTAATTTAGATGCTCCAGAAACACTATCTTACAAATTCTACGATTGCTTTGAATGGTGCAGTAAAAATTAACTAGCCTCTTGAGGTGATCCATGGAGCAAGTCTATTTTCCCGAGGCAAGACATAAGGCAGCAAGCATTTGTTTTATAATAAATATAATATAATATAATTCTGCATACTCTAAGCAATAGCCGATTACTTTGATCTTAAAACATATAAAACATATGTCTATTTGAATAAGGACTTTGTTGAAAATTTACTAGCACTTTTCTAAACAACCTCTTCATGACATGTTTCAACCTGATTCTGTAGCACTAGTCCTTCAGAATACATGTAACGCACAGCCTGCACACATCGGTATGCATTTACACATAACGCTTGTAGTCATGGGTACAGATCTTTGGTTGCTATGGGCACAGTACATGATCTTTGGTTACAAAAGAATAGTTCCATTGGATGTGAAAAACGAGATAGCACAAAGAGCGAAGGCCAAGTAACTGGCTTTGGGTCATTGAAGATCCAGACTCTGTGGGTGAGGTGTTATGCTCAATGATGAAGCAAACTGTCTAAAACATTGAGTACCCTCCAGTTCTTTTCAGAACCACGTATACATGTACCCACAAAAGAGACATACGTAGTTTGGCATGGTGCTATCACAAACCTATTACTTAATGTGTCATAATTTATTGAATTCCATGTAAAAAAGGGTTATTTTGTGCCATTAACATTTTCCTTTGAAAAATCTTCCATTCTCTTTATCTTTCGCTTCGCGCAGTACACATCATGTAGACATAATATTGTATTTGATTCTATTTCATTAACAAACATGAAGTGATCAGGCAATATGGATTTCCTGGTTCATCACATCACAAACTTTTGTTGTATGTCATCGGAAAATCTATTTGGTCTCATCATTTGTGCAAAATAACATCTCTTAAGTAGAAAAACAAAGACTACAGTTCTACATGTACAGGTGTCTGTTTAACAGGGTTTCACATTTTCAGGTTTTGGAAAAAAGTGCAAGAAGAATGTTTTATACAAGAACTTCAGTTCATTTCTTGACTTTCAACTATAATTCAAATCTACTAAAGAGTAGATTTAATATGGTTTATGATTAATTTTCCTGTTTCAAAATGAAATTCAATAGAAACCAATTTAAATTATTTTTGATTATCCAATATATTTCACATACTCTGAAAGGGTAAATTTACTACAAGACCTGAATAGTTCTCCTGCTTCCAAATGAAAATTTTCCCAAAACATTCAATGTATCCCTTAAGCCACAAATTACAGACAGACAAGGAAATATCATGCAATGAATAACACAAATCAATTTTAAGAAGCACAAGAAGAATCTTACAAATGTTTGGGGGATGACTTTGAACTGAGGTATCCAAGTTGGCAGCACACTGGACGGTCATAAAATATGAGTTCTTGGCTTTGTTAAAAAGAAACCAATCTTACTATGGCATTTGGTTATGGACTGGTCTCAAGTCAATGTATTTGTATACATGTACTGGTATATTCACCTCTGGAGGAACGATGTTCAAATTGGGAGGGGGGGCAGTTCTTAGACCATGAAGTACATGTATCAACCATTAACAGCTTCATCCATTGGGCCCAACCCATTAAAGGACCTGCAAAAAGGGGTTTTTTTGGGGGGGGGGAAAGCCCCCCAGTCAAAAAAGTGGGGGAACCACTGGCCCCCATGGCCTCACAGCTTTCACCGCCAGCGGATACATGTACATGTACAAACATTCATGCTGGGCCACACGGGATGACTCAGCAGGTTATAACATAATGGGCACTGGATATGCAAGAGATACATGTATACAGATATTTTTGTCATCATCAGTGGGTCCCATGCATTCATCAAGGCTCATATTTATTCTCTTTGATGGACATTTTAAGTCCACATAGAATTAGTTTTGGGCAATTTTCAAAAAAATAAAGGTCTTTTCATTGTACTTTTTCAGTCTAATGTCATCAGCTTATATCCTAAGACATGCAGTGCCTGCAGGAAGGTCATTGTGCCTACCAATTTCAAGGGGCAAATTTCTTAAAACACATAAACTGAAAATGCACATTTCACATTTTCAACCTACCACAAACAACTTAAAAGGACACATTTGAGTATTTTATGACATCACTGGTCTCATTTTTGAAAAAGTACTATATGTATCTTACCAAAGACTAACACTATTGAAAGCAAGTTCATCTTTCAGCAATTTCAAATAAAAGGGCACTTCAACTGGAAGCAAAAGTCAGGCAATTTTACCAAAAAAAGAAAAACATAAGACATTCATTTACAACATCTCAAGATTTGTCAGTCACTGCATCCTAAAAGCAATCTTTCTAAATGACATTAAAAGATCTTGGTGATGAAATCTTAAAAACATATTTTTTGTACAACTTTATTCTCAAGACTTTTCGATGTACATGTGAGTAAACAATTTCACATCCCTTGGCGGTTACATGTATTGAAAAGAGTGGTTTTTTTTTAACATTCAAATCGTCCATGCTTTGCAGGTAAAAGGGTGCTGTTGCTGCAATATCAATCAGGGAAGATATTGCTCAGTTTATAGATTTTCCAGTTCAATTCTGACTCAA